GACTTCAGTTAACCAGCGGTGAGGAGTCATAACCAGGCACTTCTGAGGACAACCAGAAGTCGGACATTAAGCTGCAGGCCTCAGCTGAGGTGGAGGCAGACGGTCAAGCTATTTTCTCACTGATACCCCATAAGATTATTATCAAGTAGATTCAAAAACCAAACTGAAGCTTTTTCCAGACTGTTTAATGAAGGTTAAAATTCCTTGCAATTAAGTACTTTGGCCATTTTTGCCATCCTCATGGCTCTCAGATTAAGGACAACTTCATAGGAAAAACTGAATAGATGTACGCATGCTCAAGACTGTTCATTTAATTTTTTCTTCCTTGACAGATGCTAAGAGTCAATTTACAAAAGAAGATGGAGGTAATTTTCCACACCACATATCAAATGTGGTGTTAACACTCCAGGCATACCCTTGTACACTTCACTGCAGGGCCTACGGAACCAAAGACAGCTGCCTTTAGCGAGGGTTTTTTTTTTTTTTTTTTTTGTCTTTTTGAGACAGGGTCTCCCTGTAGCCCCAGCTGTCCTGGAACTCACTATGTAGACCAGGCTGGCCTTGAACTCACAGAGATCCGCCTGCCTCCGCCTCCTGAGTGCTGGGATTAAAGGCGTGCGCCACCACGCCCGGCCACAAATGAGGTTTATTATTATTTTTTTAATTTATTGGGGTTGGAGAGATGGTTCAGTGGTTAAGAACACTGACTGTTCTTGCAGAGGACCCAGGTTCAAATCCCAGGACCCACATGGCAGCTAACAGCTGTCCATAACTCCAGTCCCAGGGGATCCGACAACAGCTTCTTCTATCTTCCACGGGCATTGCATGACATGGGTGCACTTACCTACATGCAGGCAACACACACAAACACGTAAAATATTTTTAAAAAAGATTTATTATTTATTTATGTGTATGCCTCTCTCTCTGTGCCTGCATGTATGTATACTCCCACCTTCTGTGTCTGCATGTACATGCACGTATATGCAGGTGCCTACAGAGGCAAAAAGAAGCAAAAATTCGATCCCCTGGAGCTGGAGTTATAGGGGGTTCTGAGCTGCCCAATGTGGGTGCTGAGAACTGAACTTGAGTCTTCTAGAAGAGTAGCCAGTGCTCTTAACCACTGAGCCCTCTCTCCAGTCCAAGATTTTTCTGTTTTTAAAACAAGTCAAGGATAGGTGTAATTCTAGCACTTGGGAGGGCTGAGGTAAGGAAACTGAGAGTCTGAGGCCAGCCTGGGCTACTATGTAGTGGAGGGTTCTGCCTTAAATAATCCAACCCAAACCAAACACAACACAATAATGAACAAGTCAGTGGCTACCAATGCTCCCTTTGGTGCCTCTTTACTGTTTCTTAAAAGTCTAACAATGGAGACCAGAGTGATGGCACTGGTGGGAGGAAGAGGCAACACATCACCTCAAGTTCAGGGCTTGCCTATCAAAACAAAGTGCAACAATGGGGCTTGAGAGGTCTAGCATTTCAGCTCAAACAAACAAACAAACCTGCCTGCCATTCCTGAGGCCCTGGATTTGATCCCCAGCAACACAAGTACGTACACACACACACACACACACACGCACGTACATATATGTATGACACCACACATACATATGTACTTTTAAAAATTGAGGTGGATGATTCTCTGAGGACAGCACTCAAGTTTGTCCTCTGGCCTCTGTACATACGTACGCACGCACGCACGCACACACACACACACACACACACACACACACACACACAGTAGTTTCTTATCACAAACAGGGCAGGGACTGACCATGCTGGAGATGTGGTTGGCACTGCAAGGGACTGCAGGCCACAGAGACTGCCTGACCATATAGTAAGTACTGTTATTACAGCTCCTACACACTGAGAAGCAGAAATGAATTAGGAATAAATGAAATACTGACTTTAAAAACATACAAATTCAGATTCACAAAGCACTGGGAAACAACTCTGAGTTCTGCATGATGTGCACTTGGCTTAAAACCTCCATGGTTTATGTAGGTGCTCAGACCCTTCTCCCAAAGGTAGAAACAGAGAAGACAGGTGAGTGGGAACCAGTCAGGAGGAAAAGAACTCTGTGTTCAGGGAAGGACATTAACAAGGCTTTTAGGAAGCAAAGGCAAAGTCTGTCTCTAAATATCCTGGCTATTTTCAATTACACTTAGAACAAAGAATTATAGGCAAATCCAGCAGATAAGAGGGTCTTTTCAGAGGAAAAACATGTTCTTGGGGAACAGATAACAACTAGAACATTCATACTATGGTTTTGTTTATTTGTTTTAGCTGAAAAACAATTCAATATTCCTTAGGAAATTCTATTCTTTGACAATCTATAATCTAAACAGGAGGCATAGGGAGAATGTCCCGGTTTCTGTTACCTAGCTCTCTTAGACACTTAAAGAATTTCCTACTGAGCAGCAGCAAGACAGAACATACAAAGCAGCACTGGATATTTTTTACTTAGATCTTCAGCAGTTGGTCCTGAAGACAGATCGAAGATTTGATTCGCGTCGTACATAAATCTATATTTCCCCCAAAGAACTGGCTTAAAATGTACCATAAATGACGCTCACTTACTCTCACAATACCTTTGCTTCGAAGGCCCAAAAGATAAGCTCTCGGTCATTCCAAGTCTCACTCTTAGTAACAGTTTTTCATCTTTACTCTTTGTACTTCTAGCATTAAGTGTTGAGTCCTGTGATCCTTACAGAGCAGATAAGTCTAATGGACAAAATTAGGCCAGGTATTGAGAACCATCTTGTGGGGCTTTCACAGAATGCTGCCTGAGCTGGTAAAAGAGATTTCAGCTCTTTTAAATCTTTATTTTATAAACATACTGGGCAAACACAGGAAACAGGGCCATTGTGTTAAGACTGGGGGGCTGGGCTATAGCTCTCCAGTGGAGCTTTTGCCTAGTGTGCACAAGGCTCTGGGTTCCATCCCCAGCATCACAAAAACAAACAAATCAGGCTGTGAGCAAATGTTAAGTCTAATCAAAACAGACTTACAAACTCTGGCATAGCTGGGTATGGTTGCCCACACCTTTAATCCCAGCACTCAGGAGGCAGAGGCAGGCGGATGGACCTCTGTAAGATTGAAGCCAGCTGGGGTTACTGGGAGACCCAGTCTCAAAATAAAATAAAATATAGTAAAATAAAAAACTCAAAAAAACCCCACAAAGGCTGGCACATTAACTGCAGAGATAAATGTGGTTTAAGAGTGATTTACTTTCTAAAAGATCCCCGTTTAGGGCTGATCTCTCCGAAAGGGCAGCCACTAGAGCCACATGTGGTTAATTAGATCTAAATTAATTAAAATGAGAAAACTCAGTCACGCTTCAAGTGTGTGACAGTCACATGTGGTCTGGGCACATCACAGATGCTGAACATGTCACCAGGACATTTGCCACTGGGAGGAAGAAGAAAGGAACTTCCTAGATTGTGACTCCAGAAGGTAGGCACCAAGAACCTGCTGTTGGGGTAGAAGTGCCTCATCTATTATGACAGAAACTAGAGTGAACTCAAAGTTTTCTAAAATAAAATATAGGAGGAACACTAATTATGATAGAAACCTCTGAATCTTTAAGAGATAACTTTAACCTTTATAAACAAATCACATGAGGTGGCATCACAGGGTCCCTATCTTGCACACGGTGGAGAGATCTTTAGAATGCATGTATTCTTCTGACTCCCATGATTGCACAGTGGCTTAGACCCTGGAGTCCGCCATCCTCTCAAAGTCAGAGCTCTGGAGCCTGCCTCAGGACTCCATCTGGAGGGGGTTACAGCTGCACTGGAGATGCAGCCACGAGCCCCACCCCCAATGGGTCACAGCCTGCAGGGGGCTCAGTCTTCACTAGTGTTCTCTGCCCTGTCTTGCTGACAAGTAGAGTACAAACTTGTTCTTTAATCAGCCTTTAAAAAAAAAGATTTTATTTATTATTTTTATTTTATGTATATGAATGTGTTGCTTGCATGTGTGTAAGTGTACCTGTGCTGTGCAATGCTCATGGAGGTCAGGAGAAAGCATCAGATCTGCTGGAACTGGAGTTAGGGATGGTTGTTAGCCACGATGTAGGTGCTGAGAATGGAACCCAGGTCCTCTGCAAGAGCAGCTAGTGCTCTTAACCACTGAGCATCTCTCTAGCCCTTATACATTGAAACATTACCTTTCCATCTACAAAGTTCACATGGAGAATCTTGCAATCAAGTTACAAAAAAAAAAAAAAAAGGAAAAAGGAAAAAAAAACCAACCCTCAGTGTTTTGAGTAAGTGTATGATTTTGTGTCGGCCAGAATTTATACCTGTCCTTGACCAAGGTAGCATGCAGCTGGTGGGCTGTAGGTTAGACATGCCTAGTAGTGTTTTCTTGAGGCTGACTACCATTACTTTCTGTCACCAGCAGACAGAATCACTTCCCACTTCCACATCTATCCCTCCCTCCATCTGTGCATTCCTGTGCCTTCCAACCCAGCCATCTCCCTTTCTGTTTCTCAGGGCAGGTTACAAGGATGATGATGCCCTGGACGCACTCAACACCCTCTGAGGCCTGGACTCACTCAACACCCTCTGAGGCTTCAGTTTGAGAATAGAGTGGCCACCAGACCTTATGTGCTGCCCCACAGTTCTTCAGACAAACAGTTCTATCCCTATACATCTCATTAATTAATCATTCCAGACTTCAGGTTAGGGAACGAACCCTGGTATTCAAGAGGTGTGTAAGCTGTGAAGGCTGCACAGTGCCACAGGCTGACTTCTTGCACACACGTGTCTCACCAGCCAGGTGAGCCAGCTAGCCCATCCTCGTCGTCTACAGTGATTCAGTCAGTATATCACCTTTTAGAAAGTCACAGCCCGTCACTGATTGCACATCATCCTTCTATCTAATGTTCTTCTTTGCTCTCCTGGCTCACATGGGACACAGAGGCATCTGACAGCTTTCTAAGAATCCTGCAGGCAGCCTCTGCCAGCAGTGCACACTGCCTGGCCAACTGGTCTTACCTGCGAGGAGAGCCATCGTCATGGGGCTGGATGATAACCACCTTCACAGTCACGGATGTCCGAAGCAAGTCAATCATCTGCTCGTGGGTCAGGGTGGCCACAGCCACCTTGCAGATCTCCACTAACCGGCTCCCTTGACGAAGGCCGGCCTTCCAGGCAAAACCAAAAGGTTCTACATCAGCAACAATTCCTTCAAAGTTCACATGGAAGCCAAGTTGGCCCAGTCCATTCCTCCTCAGGGTCATTTCCACTGTCTCACAGCCTCTGGTCACTATCTGAGGGGGAAACAGGTTGTCAGACATGCACTTGGTCTTTTGCCATGCCACCATGAGTCTTGACACACATACAGGTGTTTAGGCTAGCCCTTCTTCCCTTGACCCACCCCTGGTTACCTCTCTGTCCCTCAAAGTGATACAAGAGGGCATTTAAATCCAGAGGTTGCCACAGTTGACCCTGATAAAGTACACAGCCCCACAGTTTCATTTTTAAAGGCCCTGATTCCTGTGGAAGGTGGTCTGCCTCTTCTTAGAGGGCAGTGACCTGCAGCCTGTGAGCTTTGCATGTGCTGTGCCAATTCCCTCTGCTGTAAGCTGACTGGGCTCTTTAGCACTTGAGTTTTACTCTTCTAGATGATTATAGCAGTAGAAGGAAACAATGATACAGTTACAAGTCTCAACCACCAAACTCTAAGGCCTCCTAGACACTTTCCTCCAACTCAAAAGGAAAAAAAAAGTTCCCGTAGCCAGGCATGTTGATGCATGCCTTTGATCCCAGCACTCAGGAGGCAGAGGCAGATGGATCTCTGTGAGTTTGTTAGAGGCCAGCCTGGTCTACATAGCGAGTTCCAGGCCAGCTGGACGTTCCCTAAAGCACTTCTGATCTCACACTGATCTCACTTCTTATCTCCCCGGTTCAGGAAGGGCCAAGAAGAGGCTGGGCTGAGGAAGCCCCTAACTGTTCTTTATACACTGCTTGCAGACTTCCTGCTCTGCCCCCTCAGGCCATCTCCTGGGAGTGACCAGCCATATTCATCTGTACTTAGGGATCAACTGTGGGGCTCACAGTCCCTCTGCCATCGATGAATAGGGCACAGCACAGGATGGCGCTTGCAGGTGGCAGAGGGGCCTCCTGTGCCTACGGTCATCTTTCCTTTTTCACTCTTCCCCTGGGGGTGAAGGGCCACCCCAGGTAGCTCTAGTGACATCCCTTCTAGAAGAATGAGAGTCTCAGCAGCACCTGGAGAAGAACACGAAAGGAAAGAGCTGGTTCCATCTCTCTTAGTGCTGCAAGTGAGGTAATTAGTCACTGTAACCCTCAGAGGCGCTGACGGAGTGCAGCTTGCAATGCTATGAAAGGCAAACACGGCCCATTAAACATCATTTGAGGAGGCTGACATCATTTTTTCGTGGGAAATTTCCAGTTGGGAGGTATGATCCCCTATCCCTGAAGTGCCGGGGGCAATGTACAAAGTTTCAGTTTAATAAATGTTCTGCTTCCACAAACCAGGCTCTGAACACACAGATACCTATTTAACGAGCCCTGTGGTTGTGATCGCAGCTGGGGAACTGTGGCTTGCTCCCCAAATCAGCATCTGGCCTAGGTTTCCATGGTTACAAAAGTGCACACATTGGCCCTCAGATTCTCCCAGACAAGTGTGATTGCTAGGGACTCAGCAGAAATGGGATGTTAGTGTCAGTCAGGGGCCAAGTTCTGAAAGGTTCAACTTTTCCAAAGATATGAACTGATTTTAAACTTGATAAACCAATTTTGTAGTATGTCCAACCTTGATAAATACTTCCTTCACATGGCTCAGACAACATCTAAACACACTGTTTTCTTTCAGATGTGAATGCAATTATCAGTAAAACTTAATGTCCACATATTAGACTGCAGGGCATCAAGGCTGTTCCAGAGCTCCGCAGGCTCTAGCTCTGACTTCCTATATTAGTATGTCACCTCCCCTACTGGGGCCTTTTGTTATTATTTTTCTCCCTTTCCAGTCCTTGGTTTCAGACATCTCTAAAATCTAAAGCACCATGGGCTCCATTTTCTGGGGCTCCTCATATAGGCTCAATAACCACATGAAAATAGTGGCCCCCTATCCATGTATCTGGGACTGGCCACATAATCAGTGGTGCCCAGTAGACAATAAAAGTTCAGGGTCCTCATTCAAATCTTATTAAGAAGCTGGACATGGTGACAGTGGAACCTCTGTAAGAGCATGGCTCTTCTGAGAAGGCACCTGGGAGTAAGCCCGACCCCATTACAAAGGACACTGTGGCTCCAGTCTGTGCTACAGGAAAGAGACGACGAGGTCACCATCTGCCAAAGAGGTGTCCCCACCACTTCCACTATGATATCATTCTCCCTTCTCACCTCCATTGTCACCCTGTGTCCTGCTCCATCCCTACTCCAGTCCTCCCTCATTTCTGCTGTCCTTAGCCCATGTCCTGCTCCACCTCCACTCCAGTCCTTTCACAATCACAAGCATTATGTTTTTAGAACCAGTTTCTCAAGCTACAAGTAGTCCCAGACCCAGGGAGCAGGTCTCCTAATTCCCACCAGAAAAGTTACCCTTCTAGGGAAATGATATACAGTGGGGTACACAAGGACCTCTGCGAGGTGCCCAGGGTGGCTGGTGGAGCAGCATCGCTTTAGGGACATGGACTGTGAAAGGTTCACAGATACACTAAGAAGAGTATTTGCAGAAGTATGATGTAGGCAGAGACTCACAGCTAACCCAGAGTCCCTGCTCCAGGAACACAGGCCAATCACATGCTGATTCCTCTCTGGGCCTGCTCATACCACTGAGTGAACTTACAGAAGCCCTTATGTAGACAGTGTCTGCAAACTACTCCAACACAGACAGATGCTAACTGAAGTTACTCTTATACAGGCCTTCTAATAACAAAGGAGATTTATACCCTACGGGAAGAAAGGCCAAGGAGCGTATACTATTTCTTTTTGAATGATTCTCAGTTGACCAAATAATATATCCTCCCTGGGAGAAGACTTACCAATGAGACATTTTATGCTAAAGCATGGTTTCTTCTTATATAACATCAAGCAATAAAACTGGGATCAGTCTAATTTATTGCTATTGTTCTACTGTATGCACTCAAATGAAAATATGAATTCTGCTTGTTAACAGAAATTTGACTGTTGATCAGGGGCATAATGCAGGAGTTTTGGACTTAAAAAAAAATCCCATGAAGCCTGGACATGGTGGCACACATTTATAATCTTAGCACCTAGGAGGCTAAGGCAAGATGATCTCAAGTTTGAGGCCAGCCTGGGCTATACTGTAAGCTTCAGAAAGCCTAGGTTATATAGCAAGACCCTGCCTTATATTTTGGGTGTGTGGAGTAGCATGTGTATGGGGGTACATGTGTATATATGTGCATGGGTATGTGTGTGAAGGTCAGAGGTCAGCCTTGTTAGGTGATACTTCTCAGGAGATGTCCACTTTGATCTCTGAGATAAGGGTTTCTCCTCACTGGGACCTGGGACTTACAGATTGAGCTAGGCTGGTTGGCCAAAGAGTCCCAAGGATTCTCCTGTTACAACCTCTCCAGTGCTGGAATTACTAGTGCATGCTACCATACCTAACTTTTTACATAGGTGCTGCGGGTGGAATACAGGTTCTTATGTTTGCATAGCAAGCATTTTACCAATCGAACCATCTCCCCTGCCCTATGACCTGATCTTAAAAAAAAAAAAAAAAAAAAAACCACCTAAGTCTTGCCATGTATGCTGGTGCATGTCTTTAATCCCAGCACTAGAGAGGCAGAGACAGGTGGATCTCTGTGAGTTTGAGGTCAGTCAGGGTTACACAGTGAGACTCTGTCTCAAAAAAAGTTCCTTTGAAGACTGGTGACTTTTTTTTTTTAAGGTTTTTCTTACTTAATGCCTAATCCTGCAAGACACCCTTCAGGAAATGTGGCTGAGATCTGCTGGTGCATGTCTTTAATCCCAGCACTAGAGAGGCAGAGACAGGTGGATCTCTGTGAGTTTGAGGTCAGTCAGGGTTACACAGTGAGACTCTGTCTCAAAAAAAGTTCCTTTGAAGACTGGTGACTTTTTTTTTTTAAGGTTTTTCTTACTTAATGCCTAATCCTGCAAGACACCCTTCAGGAAATGTGGCTGAGATCAACAACATATTTAATCTTTCTAACATATTTAAATTAAAACACCTGCCACATAAATACATACAGGGGGAACAGGAAGGAGGACTAAGTCATGGGTGAACAGCAGTGCTGTGTCTATGAAGGTGTACCATGTCACAGATAAAGCATCTAAATGATTTTCCTTCAAATATTAAAAAAGAGGTTCACAACAGTCTTTCCTAGTCATTTCTCCACCACTTGTGTTCTGTGACTTTCATATGAACCCACAACTTTGTTAATCTGTGAATCATGGGAATAGCAGTTGATTCCCTACGCCCTGCAATCACAGGAGGTGTTCTCAGTGCAAACCTGCTGGGAATCTGGGGCTGAAGTGATGGACAGTGGGAGATGCAACCCAAGTACTTACTACAAGTCGCTGCACGATTTCTCGGATATCTTCGGCACAGCTATCCACTGAGGACAGGAGGATACACTCTCCCCTTTCATAGAAGACTTTGATGCTCACTAACCCGGACGTCCAGCCAATCACATCCCTGCAGGAACAGTTAAACACCACATTCTTGGAATCCTTCTCAATCAGCATGATGAACTCATTGGAGATCCCCAGGAGACACTCAATGTCTGCCGACTGGCCAAAATCCCGAGCCACCACATGCCACATGATGGCCCCAATGCTGAACAGGTGGGCATCCTTCCTTGGCTTCACTCGCTCCTTCTTCTTGGCACCCAGGGTGATGAAGCTGAACTTTGCAGAAGTGTCCACTGTGGCGGTCGTGACAAAGTTCTCGGCCAAGTCCTTCAAGTATTCCTGCCTTGTTCGAGTGGCCATAGCTCGGAATTTTTCCGACTTATGGGCTGCATTTTCTGCATTGATTACTTTGGCTAAAAGGAAGTCCCGGAACACAGCTGACTTTGGAAAAGTTACACCTTTGGGAATTGGGGGGCCAAAGGGCGGCACATCCTTTGATCTGGAAACTCCAACACTGAGGGAGAAGAAAGAAAATGAGATGAGATGAGCCATGGCTCCTTACTTCCCTTCCTTAAGGTGACATGTCCCCACACCCACTGGGCCCATCTATGCTGCAGGCTCTTATTCTAATTTTAAGGGGCTCAATGAACCTGGTAGGGTACCTCCAAATATTTGAGGCACCCTAAGATGTACACTGGTTTCAGAAACAGTCCAGAGTAATTTAATAAGTACTAAAAAACTTTGAAAAGAAGTAAATATGAATATTTACCTTTAAGATATTTTGTGCTAACAAATCACTTCATGGTTAAGATGGGTCTTGATAGAAGAATAAAGATGGGACACAATTAAAATACTTGCTATATAGTTTTAGCGTTAAATATGGGCTCACATGATTTGGGAAGGTTGTGGAACCTTCTGGATATGGAGCATGGCTGGAAGATGACTGCCACTGGGAGCAGCTGTGAAGGTAATATTCACTTCTGGATATAGCCAGAGCACTGTATCCTGGTCCATCAAGAAGTACGAAGTCCCCGCCACATGCTCAGTCTGCCCTGAACCACAACTTCCCCACCAGACAACTGAAACTCTGGACCAAAAGCAGCCCTCCTCCCTTGGGTTGCTTCTGTGAGCTATTTTGTCACAGCAGAAAGAAAAGTAACTAATACATATCCTTGACCTAAAAGCAGCAGCTGATGAAACAGTAAGAGATACAATAAAACTATAGGCCTAGCTTGACAATCACTTAGAATGGTTCATTCTAGAGTGTTTTTCATAATTACTCCTCACTGGATAAAATCTCAGAGGAAGTTAACTCAGTTTGTTCACACCAACCTTGCCTATTTTAAGTATGTTGTTTGTATAGAACACATCTGTTTTCTCAAATATTCCTTTCTTTGCTTCTTCTTTTTTTGAAACTGGTGGGTTTTTTTTTTTTTTTTTTTTTTTTTTTTTAAGATAATATTCCACTATGTAGCCCCAGCTGGCCCAGAACTTGATATGTAGAGCATCCTAAGCTGGCTTCCTCAATCTCACAGAGATCCACCTGCATCTGCCTCCCAAGTGCTAGGATCAAAGGTGTGCACCACCATGCCTGGTGAATATCCTTTCTTAATTATAGGATAGTAGCCTAGCCAAGAAGTATGTTAAGAGTCATCACGTGAGGAAAGCTTGCACCTCAGTTGATTCCAGGCCTGCAGTAGACCTTTCTCAGTGGGCCAGAGACTCACAATGATTTGCAAGTTGACCGGAGGCAAAGCTAGCAAGGAACTAGTGGCTTCCAAAATGTTCTTTTCAGATGGGCTGCATATCAGGCAGGGTCACAGTGCCAGCATCTGCCAGGCAGACTGGTGTCCTCCTGCCCATGGGGACTTTGCAGGACTTTGCAGTCCACGAGGACCAGTGGCATCAATAGCTTGGGACACAGGCTGTTCAGGTAGTGAGAACTGCATTAAGACCATGAAGGAGAACAGCCTAGAGAACACTCTCACATGTGTCTTCTCTGTTTAAGTTACTCACACTATGTAACCATTTTACACAGCAGGCATGGTAATCTTCAACTTTAAGAAAAGGAACTGAAGGGGAAGACTATTAAGAAGCTCAGTCTGTGGAGATGGTTCAGTGGTTAAAGTACTTGCTGTGCAAGTGTGAAGTCCAGAATTTGGATCTTTAAGATCTATATAAGTATCAGGTAGGCAAGGTGGCTCATCTGTAATTCCAGTCTCTGAAAGTAGAGACAATCCCCCAGAGCAAACCAGCTCGCTAGACTAGTCACTAATGAGCTCTGGGTTTATTTGGAAGACCCTGACTCAATGAATAAGGTGGAAGAGTGGAGGAGGATGAGTCCTAGCATCAACTTTGGGCCTGACCATGCATGTGCACAAGCATGCATGTGCTCCCCCATACATACATGTGCTCACACATATAACACACACACACACACACACACACATGAAAATTGAGAAAAAGAAAAAGAAAAGAGACTCCCATACACCCAAGACAAGCAGGAAGCCTGAAGCAAACATGATAGAAGGTGTGCTCTTAGCAACACACAGAGTGTTCATAAAATTTATCCCAGTCATCTCCTAAGACAAAACCCAGACAGGGGGAGCACCCAAAATAGAGCTGGCCAGGAGAGTCGGGATACTGCAGGACACAAAGGCTTTTATAGTGGCCAAGACAAGTGTGGTTTTGGGGTCTCAGTGGCCCTGCCGGGGAGTTTCTAGACTTTTCTTTCCCTGAGTGAGAACTTGACAGGCCATATCATCCGGCAGAGGCTGATGTCAACCATGGGTCCCAGCATGGCAGGGTTGGGAATCTCAGAAAAGCAGAGGAAACACTAACCCCACTGAGCTGCTAGGCACTCCCTCTCTCAAGGGAGGAAGGCAATTATTTCTTGCAGAAAGCAGCTGAGTGTTAAGTGGAAAATATAATTAGGATGTTATGGCATTGGCTGGGGAATTAAGCTCCGTGCTAGAACACATGCCTAGCATGCAACAGGACCTACGTTCAATTCACCATCAAAAATTAAAAAAAAAAAAAAATTATCAGCAATTGCGAGGCTGCATTCATGACCAGCCTGGGCTACATAGTCAGCTTGTGGAGGGATTAGTTATGGGGCTGGGAGAAGAACTGCAAACCAAAGGAAAAGAAACACCCCACGGTGAGGGAGGCTGGGGCTCACCTGTAGCATATGTTTTCAGTGCATGGGTTGTGCGCCTTCACTATGACGAAGACATGCTGGAAGTGAGAGCGAATGTTCTTGGGGGTGAAGGGGAGCGCACCAGGCTCCTGGAAGACAATGGTGACGATGTCATTCCCAATGTGCCTCTTCCTCAGGAGCTGCAGGCAGAGAAGGGAACACTTAATGTCACAACTGAGGTCCCCAGAATACAAAGTACATGAGTATATACAACTCACATGTTCTCAGCATGCAAGGGAGGGATGAGGAGTAGCAGAGCCTTTCTGGCAAGTGAGTGCTCCCCATTGTGGCAGAGACAGCCACATGCCAGGAACTTCATGAACACCCAAACGTTCAAGTTGACCTAGCAACAGGGCTGGAACCCAGAGTATGGTGCCTGGGAGGGAAGTGCACTACCCTGGGCTACACCCCAGGTATGCCTTTCACTGAGAATTCTGTTTGTATTCTCTCTTTAGCCATTTATTTCATACCCCTAAAACAGAACATTAGACCTTGAAACACTATGGAAAAAATATTTTACAGTTTAAGCACTTCAATTTAGAGGAGATGAGGGTCCAGGAAGGAGTGAATGCTGACAGTTCTGTGGTTCTGTGCCACTACACACAGGTCTCTGGCCTGTACCACCTGCTCCCATGCTGGCATGCACCTCTGCAGGAAAAACAGGAGACTGTCTCTTTGGGTAGCAAACTAATTAACTGAAACTTGGCCTTTTAATACAATCAAAATTAATTAATGACTCTAGAATTCCAGTACATCAGTAACCAGAAAACCCAATCGTTTGTAATCTCATACATTTCAAGTCTGGGTATGGGGTACGAAGGGGGAATCTGGAGTTGGAATGTTCTAAAAACACTTTTGTTCCTGACATAGTTCCTGCCAAGGCTTATTCCAGCTCTTCCCGGACAGCTCAGTGTTGATATACAGTGCACTTCATGGGAAGAAACCTCCCTGCTGTGTGATTTGATCTTCCAAAATTCACAAGTGGAAGGCTCAGTTTCCACTGGCAGTGTTCAGTGGGACTCTGGAAGGTGAGTGGGTCCTGAGGGCTCTGACCTCAAAGTGAAGAATCCATGGACAGATTCATAATGCAACAGCAGTATTCTGAGGGGCTGGAGAACAGAAGACAGTCTAGATGGAAGAAGCGAGTCCCTGTGGGAGTGTCTGGAGTGGGAGTGTCTTTTGTGTCCTGCTGTGTCCTGGCTGTGCCAAAGTGAGCAGCTCTCCTCTGCCATGGGGGAAGCAACTTTCCTTGGACATGTCCTTCTGCCGCACCACAGTGACAAGAAACATGGAACCAAGTGACCATGTGAAACATTGGACACCATGAGCCACCACAAATCTCTCCTCCTTTACAATGATTTTCTCAGGTATTTTGCCAGTGAGAATCTGGCAAGACTGGATTACTGCTCCACCCTCAGAACCGGGTCTGACTCTGCCATTCAGGTGTCACTCTCTCCCACTGGCTGGTTTACTTCCTCTGAATCAGGACCCACTCTTCTCAAGGGCAGGGAAGTGTCCTACTGACTGGCTTTCTGGTTTCTAAAGGTGTGCCCAGCACAGGGCCAGTGCCTGATGCACATCTGCTAAATGAATAAACGAGCCACACAAACCTATGTTCCAAACACTTCACTGAAACCCTGCTCGCCCTCCTGCGATTATATGCCAGTAGCCCCCCTCCCCCAGAGGCCCCCTCAAAGTGAAAGCAAGTGAAGGCACAGACTCGGGCTCCAAACACTTTTGATGCAGTCAGTCGGTGATGTCACTGAAAGGCTGGGTCAATCTCGGGCAGTAAATCTCCCTTCACTGGCAACAACAAAGGTAACGATCTTGCCTTGAGTTTATTTGGCACCTATAGAACATATTTCACGGTTGAGGGTGTCAAGTTCAACTTTTAGAACCTTTTAAAGTCAGATATAAAAAGGATTTCATAGCTGGCTCCCTGGCTTGTGATTGAGCACATTAAAAAGCCCAGGGAAGTTAAGAATGAAAGGTTCATCCTTCACAGTCCTTTATGGGTCAGTGAAACCCCACTCACAGCCTAGAAAAGTCCTAATTACATTGTTGTGGTTAAAGTACTAAGCATATGGAAATCACTGTACTTTCTGAGGGAAGTTTTAAAATATATTAATATATAGCCACAGGTCCCCTGATTCCCCCTCACACCCCGGTTTAAATCAGCAGTTTTAACTAAGTTTGATAGACCTTTAAATAAAATGTAGCATTTCAAATTAATGTTAAAAAAATCAAATTGTACTAGTCAAAATGATTCTCCTCTCTTTCCCTGCAAACCTGAATGCTTATTTACATGTACTGTGACCAGACAAGAGACAATCAGGAGCCAGCAGACAGCTAAAACAGAAATGTGCTGATGCTGCTATCTGAAATATCTATAAACTACAGAGCACAGTGGACTGCCCTAGACATCATATAGAGTTCCTGAAACATACAACTTCTCAGTGTGACAGAGGTCAGGCAAGGACTCTGAGACCCTGCGCCCTGAGCCATCACTGTGCACTGTGTCCCTCGGCACTTGGCAGATGTTCCATGAATATAAGACACACAGTAAGTCCACATCTCAAAGAACCAAAACTAAGAGAGGCAAGCAGCTTCCACACGGCTAAATGCAGTCTGTATTTGCTGAGGAAAGCCTCTGTCAGCTCCCGACAGAACACAAAGCTACCCAGTAGATCTGGTTTCCCATCAGCGAGACCTCCTCAAGCTTAACTGACGTTTCAAACTTTCATCATTGACTGGTTCACATTTTACCAACAGCAAGAGTAAATGTACAAACCAGAGAAGCGATGCTATTTTGCAAATGAAGATACTGAAATAAGCCAGGATGTGGGTTTCTAACACCTTCCTGACAAAGTGGAGAGAAGAACACTCTTCTGATGGTGAAGGAATCTCTTTTCTGGCATAGGACCAGACCAGCTCTCACCTTCCATAGCAATGCTCAGGAGACATTCCTACCTGGGGGTTGGGAATGAAGCTAACTACAGAAAGCCAAAAAAGGCTTTATCCTGGGCAGTAGTCCCAGAGGACACCATTACAAACAGGACCTTCTCAAAGAGCACTGAGCAAAAAGAGCTGCTCCAGGATCCAATAGCTCACCAGCAATAGCAACCATGACCCGAGGCTCAAAACCCTTTACAGTTGGGCTTATTAGCCAGTCTAACAAGGTCTAGGCCTGGTCCAAGCACAGTAGCCTGTGAATCCACCATGAGAGAAATGCCACAACCCCAAAGGCCTGGTAACTCCTGAGGTAATTTGTGGGGCCTGACAACCCTTCTAGGCAGGGCCACTTAAACTCCACACATACACTAAAAAAGAAAAGGTTCCAGGCACCACAGACCTCCCTCTTTTATGAGCCTGCTCTGAAGAAAGGGCATCTTTGCCAAGGTGAAGTTTAAGGTTTCAATGTGAAATTCTTGGTGATGACACCCCATGAGCTGAGCTGGGGTTTGTCCACAGAGAAGGAGGAAAATGCAGGAGAGCATAGCCCTGGGAGAGGAGGACAACTAGCCAGACACGTATGGGCCTAACCCGTATAGAGCTGCAAGGTTCTAGGAGCAAGTCTATGGTCCTCATGGCCTGTGAGAAGGGCTCAGGCTCATTTATAACCATGGTGGTGAACTATCAGAACTTTACTGCTTCTCACAACCAGCTCTCATACTGATTTATTACAAGAACAAACACAGGAAATCAGACGTGCTGCGGACAAGTCTGGGCCAGTTAATAAGTCACGAACACTCAGGTGCTAACAAGACTGAGGGCACAGGCAGGACAAGACTTGGGTATCAGACATCAGCTGGGCTGAGTTCTATAGCACTGCCAAACAGTAGTCACCACCCCACTTTGTCCTTCAGACCTTTCTGTTCTTGATATTAAAATTTGTGGGCATCATTTGTGGGATGATACAAACATGAAGGGCTGGTACAACCCAGGACAATCATAACACCCATGTCCGAGGTCACAGAGTGTTGTGTTCCTCAGTCTTTGACAAGTTGACAAAAACTAGAGTCACCTGGGAAGAGGAAATCCCGACTGAGAAACTGCTTCCATGTGATTGGCCTGAGTCCATGTCTAATTTCTAACTGGTATAGGAGGGCCCAGGCCACTGTGGGCAGTGTCAGCCCTAGGGAGGTGGGTTGGGCTGTATAGGAAAGGTAACTGAGGAACCCATGGGCAGTGAACCAGTAAGGATCATTGCTCCATGGTCTCTGCTTCAGGTCCTGTTCCAGGTTCCTGCCCTGACCTCTCTCAGTGATGGACTATGACCTGGGAGTTGTAAAATGAAATAAACCCTTTCTTTCCCTAAGTTGATTTTGGTCAGAGTGTTTATCACAAGCAACAGAAACCAAACCAGTCACCTGTTTAGCTACATAGAGAATATTCTATTAACAGCCTGTGATCAGCAAAAGTCTACTAAATGTTAGGGTGAAGAAAATTTAACACTCAGGGCACATGCTGTGCACAGCACTGTTTTAGGAGCTCACAGTGGAACTTTTGTAGTCCTGCAATCCCAGAAATCTAGAGCTAGACCTTCCAAAGGTGAAGGGGAATAAAAATGAATACTAGAAAATGCTTTAGATCATTCAGGACGAACAAGGGACTGAAGTAAGAGTCAGAGAGAACATAGAAGGATTGGCCAGCTAGTCGTTACCATGAGGACAAGGGAGGGAAGGAAAGAGAGGAGGGAGCCAAGTTCAAAAGTGTTTATTTCTGCTTGTGGCAGAATGATCTCTGTGAGTCTGAGGCTAGCCTGGTCTAATAGCGAGTTCCAGGTCAGGTCAGACTACAAGGACACCTTATCTTAAAAAAAAAGTGCTTATTCTTTGGGTACAAAGCCTGGTGACTCCCCATCAAGCTGTAGGATCTCTGGTGCTATTCAGAGCTAGTGTGTGTGTGTCTGTGTGTGGGGGGGGGAGTTCTTCTTTGGAAAAAAAATGTACATTTTTAACTCAATCCATAGTTCCAGAGTATTTAAGAAATGAGAAAATTCTCTGCAATAATTATGCTTCATACATTGGTCAAGAGACCCCAAGGCTGTCTTCTGCACTCTATGCTCTGATATACTACAATACAGGAAGGTAGGTGGCTGTCACCTAAAACGTTAGCTTCCCAAATACAGAAACCTTCTGTCTTAGACCTGGCCTTAACCCCAGCACAGGCATGTCCCCAGAGTTAAGTTGTGCCACAGATCACATCCCGTAGACCACAGACTTTCCTGCTAGTCATTTTCAGAAACTCAGTAATCTTCCTCCTTCAGAGTCTCCAGTCTGACATCAGCAGAGCCTGGGTTCTGAAGGACTTAGGGGTGGAACTTCCCACCCCACAGATCCTCCTTACCCCAGGCACAGGTCACCTTCTATCCCAAACAAAAATCTCTGAGTTCATGAGCAGTCACAGCATTGCCAAATTGGTCACCATTTCTAATAATTTTAGTAAAAGAATTTGGTCAACCCATTTTATAGTTGCACCGAATGTTTTATAAGTCATGTTATGATATCTGATGCATCATGAGGTTCTCAAAGGTTTATAGCTCTTAGGGAATGACTGTCATGCAAAACATTATGCACAGTAGAATGTCCCCCCTTCTAAAAGGAGTCAAGGCATTCAGTCATTAAAACAAAAAACCCAAGGAGTAGCAGCTGGAAACAGCAACAGGCCCAACTGCAGGCAATGTTTTTTATAAATAAGGTATTTATGCAGAAACCTGTCTGGCTAACACAATTGCTCTAATCATGATTAGCACAGTCAACATAGGGTTCTTCTAAGAGTCGGTGTAGCCAGCTTCTAAGTTTCCTGATAAGTCAAAAGTACAGTATTCCCGTACAAAATAGTAGCACTCCTATAAGGCTCACATACCTCAATGTAATGGTCATAGACTGTCAGCTCAACAACAACATCCTACAGCTTAAAGGCAAATTCTCGGTCTCACTCAGGACCCAACAGGAGGTCTGGGGGACATATTATGCTGCATGCTGGAGGACTCACCTGCTGCCTGTTGTTTGGCATATAGGGAAGCAATGTTGACACGTGGAACATGAGCTCGTAGTCTTTGTAAGTGGTATAGAGGGAGTGTGTGCCGGTGGAATCGGCTGAAAATGAAGATTCCTTATGAGTTAGGAAGGTACAGAATCTGGACTCCAGCATTTAGAAGGTGATTTCTGCAAAAGGCACCTGGGTTGTTAATCAGCCTGGGTGCAGTCCTGTCTTCACCCTAATCGGTTGTTACCAGCTCTCCCCCAGGGGCTAGGTCCCCAGGCATTTTCTACTGAGGTGCTCTCAGAGTAGATTCAGGGACCCAGGGTGGGCAAAGGGGCCTGCCTTGGCACACACAGGCAAACAGCAGAAGAGGCCATCATGAATCTACACACAAGTATCTGAAGGGTCTGACTCATGGCAAACAACCTGGCTGCCACTATGCATACATTTAGAGTTAATTTTCAGTCATTTGGGGGCACTTAATCTTCCAGAACACAGAAAAATTAAATAAAAGCCAGGACTAGTGGCTCACACCTGTCATCCTAGCACTCAGGAGGTAGCAGCAGGAGGATCAGGAGTTAAGGCCATCCTTGGCTACATAGCCAGCCTGGGCTATATGAGACCCAGCTTAAAAAAAAGAAAGTGAAACAAGATTGAACATGAGAATGGGAGCAACATTTAACAATTTCATTCCTTAAAGGACTTAATTTTTTATTCTTTCACTGGAACATAGTGATGGCACATTACATGAATTATGATTAAGGGGGGGAATGTGGTCCAATATCACAGGGTCTCTCACTGTATCTCTCTCCTGCACATATACAAATGTTGAGAACAAGTAAAGTAGGGTTGTGGAGGTGGCTCAGTTGGTAAAAATGTTTACGAAGCACGAGGACCTGAGTTAGAACCCGCAGTAGCAAAACAAAAAGTCAGACACAGAGGTCTTTGTACTTGGGGGTGGTGGGAAGACAGACAGATGGAGCTTGTTGACCAGATAGTCTAGCCACATCAGTAAGTTCCCAGTTCAGTGAGAGACCATGTCTCAAAAATGAGGTGGATGGGCCAGTGAGATGGCTCAGCAGGTAAAAGCTGTTGCCACACAAGCCTGATAAGCTGAGATATCCCTGAACCCATGTAAAAGAGTTAGATGTGGGGCTATGCAAGTCTGACAAGCTGAGATAGAGCTCTTGAACCCATGTAACAAAGCTGGATGTGGGGCTGTGCACCTGCAATCCCAGCACTCCTATGGAGAAATGAGAAGGAAACAGGAGAACTGCCCTGATGCTCCAGGGTCAGCTAATCCGGAGTACACTGTGCAGTGCCAGAAACATGAGACCCCTGTCTCAGCAAGGCAGGAGGGAATATGAATGTGTATCACAGCACATGCACATTCATATTCACACACAATAAATAAAAAATTTAAAACATAAGGTGGAGAACAATACAGGAAGACACCTAGTATCAACCTCTGGCTCCTGCATAAGTACATGTGTGCACACCCACACAACTTACACAGACAACTACACACATATTCACTACACACATATACACCACACAGAAACATAAAAATAAATGATGAAGTCTGGACTCCACTGATTACAAAGCTAGTCATCACTGTTGAGATGTACATAAACATACCCACACAAAAACACAAGCTATAACACAACACATGCACACAAACACACAAGCTATATAGACACACACAAACACACATGAACACAAACTTACACACACATAAACACTGAAGCTACACACACAAACAGAGGCTACACATAAAAATACACGCACACAGACACATAGATGCACACATAAAACACTCATGCACTCACACAAGAATACACACACACACACACACACACACACACACACACACACAGAGCACATGAGCTTACTCTTGTTGTCTAGCTGTGCACGGTACTTGCTGAAGCCTTTCAGCCGCACTCTCTGACCCAGAAGGTCCAGGAACTCCTCGAAGGCAGGCCCTGCAGTCTCATTATTATACATCTCCTCCTCCGTGCTCTGGCCAGCTTTGCAGTACAGGATCCCGATTTTGTGCTGAAAGCTCAGCTGAAATGGGAGGAAACACAATTGACTTGGCAGAGGTCCCTGGACTTGCTCACATCCAGCCAAGTTAAAACTACGGGAGCCTGGAATCCAGTTCCCAGGAAAGTACAATAGAAAATTCTCACAAGCAGAAAGGTATGCAGCTCTCATTGTACAAGTGGTTAGAAATAAAGACCCAGCCCAGATACCCTATAATATAACTAGAGAAGAGCCAAAAGCTCTAAGAAACAGCATCTAGGGGCAGACCGCATGGGCTTTGACAGAAAATGGGCAGCCCTGTCAGGTATCACCCTAAAAATGCACATTGCCTATGATATTAGACATAGCTTCCAATTTCGGAAGAGGAAAAGGCCATGAATTTTGGAAGTTTTCCCTCACTAGTTCTAATGCCTTTTCCTTCTGTAATTTATTTGAACGTTCAGGGAAATATGTGAGGTGGTAAGGGGAAAAATTCAAATCGAATTAAGGTCTTGTAAGGAAAGAACCCCAGTGGGAATTGTGATATACGTACATTTAAAAAAAAAAAGTTTTGTTCCCATCAAAGTAAGTTTGGCTGTACAATTACAGTCGTTTCTCACATTTTTTGACTATCTTGGAAAGAAAACATTGACTAAAAATATGATACCCATCAAGTAGCCAGCCGTTGAACAGTTTCTGCACGGTCAATGCCATGGTGAGGTAGAAGCCACAGACTTCCTCCCAGGGCCAGAGAGAAACTGGATCCATCTTCACCAATTGCTCATTTTCTGAAAACATCTACTTCTCACTCGCACCATCAGAGACCTTAATCCTCCTACCAGTGCAGAGCCCAAAGAACTGGCAGATCATCAGACGTCACCAACTCCCAGCAGGCTCAGATCCCTAATGTGTTTGCTTTCTTGACTGAGATGTGAAACGCAGCCTCTAAAGAACCCCAAGGCTGACTCCAGCAGTAAAGCAAAGCAGAATGATAGCCAGTCTCTTGAGCAGGAACACGTGTGAACAGGCTCATCCGCCTCCTTCATCCACCTCATTATCCACAGAGAGAAGGCATACTGGTGTTTCCTGGGGATCTCAGCAGGTTACACTGCAAAAGTTTCTCTGTCCCTCTGATGGGTGCCCTGGGGTGCTATGAAAGGGGCCATCACCTGCTACAGCCCGAGAGAACCAGCTTTCTCTGTTGATGGATGCCAGGGTACAGGGGGAGCTTGGGACTCTGGATTCCATCAGCCACAAGCTCATCACTCAGTGAAGATGATGACCTTGACCTTACCGTGGGCTATGAGGTAATGTGCAGGGCTACTAAACTCCTGGGGTTACAGGGTTTTATTCTTTACTGGTGTCAAGATAAGAAAATTCCCTTTAAAAGCTTTATTGTTTCCTTATGAACAGCAATTGGTCCTGAGTCACTTGGGAGATGGTTGAGGATCTTTGGAGTTTTAAGGACACTCAGGACTGGCAACAACTACACAGAGGTGACTGATAAGTCACTGGTGGAATGTGAATTACCATCACAAGGCCCCACATGTGCACTTTGCACATCTCAGACATCTCTCTGTTAGATGAGAATCTCAACAGCAGTTTTGGTGTTATCTTAACAAGTATCTCTTAACACTATGGCACATCAGGCCACCATACATCTTGTCTCCTATGCCCCTGCATCCTCAGCACCAGAGATACTGCCTCAGTCGCCTACTTCCTCAGAGCTTATCTCTCAGCACTGCCACCTCTGCATGCCCACCCTCTGTTCCTTGACATCCTGCTCATCTGGATGCCATCATGGCTTCAGGTGCTCCTGAGCCTTGGGAGAAGCTTGTTCAGTCTGTACTGGTGCCTCTGGTAGGAAGCCCTCCTCTATGATGGTCAGCTCCTTGGAGGAGGAATAGAGAAGTATTCGGTCCTAGAGTCTGAGTATGGTATATTTTCAAAGTGGCTAAACAGAGTGAGCTTGGGCTGGCATGTTTTCCCTGGCTCCCCAAATCTGGTAGACTGGCATTTTTTGGTACTTTATTCCAGCAAAGACTGGATAACTAGAGACCTGACACTTGACATCCTGGGAGTCTCTCTGCTCAGTACTAGGCCACTTCACACATTCTCTTCCAAGTATCCAAAAAAAACAAATTATGAGTAGATCCAACAGTGAATGAGACTAGTGTTTCCAAACACTGGACCTCGACCATGGGAACCAGAGCCAACACCATTTTCAAAACCCTTAGGAATGTAATAACAACAGCTAGACTCTGGCTCCTATGCATGCGTGCATACACACACATACATACATACATACACACACACACACACACACACACACACACACACACACACACGGAGCTTGGCCAGGTGCAGGGATACATGGATGGATCTTCACTACCACACCTTCCTCATTTGTTCTCCAGTGAGTTACCAGCAAGATGGAACATGACAAAGAGACAGCCACCTCCAGGAACCTTGGTTGCTCACTACAACATGGAAGCAATTTGATGATATTCAGGAAGTGACCTATGTAACCTGGCCCCTTTTAGGAAACTCGAAAATAGTCAAAACGGTACTTGGCTCTCCCTCCTGAAATGCCAGCCCATGCTCAAGACAACACTACCACAAAATATACTGAATTCCCAAATCATAAAGTCTGAAGACAGAGTGGGTGATACAGGGGAGTCCACTCTTCAAAATCAGCTCCTTGACATCACAGTCTAAGTAGGTGACCACCAAAGGACTCAAAATGTTGGGCACAGCCTCTGGACCTGCCCGTTCACAACCTCATGAACTTCCCGCCTCATTCTGAAAGGAGATAGCAGATCACCAATGCCATGCGTCCTCAAAGTTCTATAGTGAAGCTCAGGTGGGTGGCTGTTCCCACAAAGCAGAGTCACGTGAGTTTAGAGAAAATGGACCCCCTAAAGAATTTTCTAGAGCAGTCTCTGAGATCACACACTTCACTGGGAGACATATATAATAAATGGTCTGAAAAGAAAGGTCATGAAAGCCAGCTGTGACAGCTCAAGCCTGTAATTCTGGCTACCTGGGAGACTGAGGCAGAAGAATTCTGAGTTGAAGACGAGTCTAGAGTCTACGACACACAGCAAGGCCTTGTCACAGAGGGAATAGGAGGTTGGAGGAGGGAAGCGGGAAGAGAGCAGATGAAGCAAACTCGCATTTTTAGCAACATAGACCCAGGTTCTCACGCACTCACTGGGCACACACCATACATACCCCCTGTTCATCCAGCTTGAGCAGCTGCTCGGGAACCTTGGGGGAGTTGGCCGCCTGCCGCAGGCACTGGATACTCAGCTCTGGGATGACATACTCCAGGACCTCCTTGAGGGGCAGGCCCCGGGCAGTGCCGTGCCTTGCTGTGGAAGGGACAGCATCTTCCAGGATCGCTCCTCTCAAGGTAGTGAGCTGGGGGCAAACACAAGACCAGTAATTGCTGCTGTTACTCACAAGGGGGTAACTCACTTAGTTCCTGAGTGGGGAAAAAGCAAGCAACATGCTCCATCTGAAAACATAAAATCAATGTTCTTTATATCAACAGCAACACTACAGAGGGATCTGGGAGGCACCAGAAGGGGCTGAAATAAACAGGTGAATACCTAAGAACAGGGAAACAAGATAGAGCAGGCCAAAACCTACCCATCCCACTGGCTCTGAACCAAACACAGGAAGGCTACGAAGAGGGCGCACAGAACGCCACCCAACCTACCGCTTCCTTCTCCCGTTTCCCCATTTCCGTTTACTCTCTTCCACTTTCTTCTGTTCTGTTTGGTCTCCATGCTGAACATTCTTGGGGCTGCATGTAAGTGGCTGAGATGACCAAAGGATCAGGGCTCAGGTCACCATTCTAAAGCAACAGCCCTGTGGTCCAAATGACCTGATGTGATTCCACCAGCATGACTCAGGGAACTGAGTGTGGCCATAGGGACACCTGATGTGTGCCCAATACTCCCAGTGCAGACTGATGTTACTTCCTGCGGTTCACAGAACACCCTTGACCCGGCCCAGCCATGCTGCCTACAGAGCTCATGGGGGTTGGGGTGAGTGGACCACAGGAAGCAGTATAAGTCATGGTAGCTGAATTTATTCAATTACTTAAATATTACTATTTAAACTTTTACCACTTGTGGCTGGTGGCTACTGCACATATCACTGCCTTCAATGATGTCACTCTGAGGGAAGGGCTTAGCTCACATGAACATATTCAGCATTCATTATGTCCAGGTTACCAGAACACCTTCATATATCGGGTAAGATGTTCATACAAGCTGCAGGAAAATGCAAAGGCCTCTCTTCTGTCTGACCTGGAAGTGGTCAGCCAACATTTCCTGATATATCTGCCAAATATACCCTGCTCTGATTACAGTGAACTGTGGACAGATGGGGGAAGTTGATCAGCCAGCATCTCTGCTGCTTAGTACATCCTGCTGTACCACAAGTAATGATATCACTTTTCAATGGAAGCCAGCAGGGAACAAGCTGTTCTTCCATGGAGGCGAGCTGGGTGGATAGTGCCATCATACTGGTAAGGGATGCCTGTCAGACACCTGGTCCACTGCAGGCTGCCTCATCTTCTGTGCTCTGTTTTAGACTCATTTTCAAACTCTGATGCAGCTCATGTCTGTCCTCATGTCTCAGCTCCAGAACCTTCTGTCTTATCGTGGTACACTATCATGTAAGATGGAGGTAAGGCCTGTTAATCCATGACAAGTTTCCAAGTTTTCTCACAACAACAACAACAACAAAAAATCACACAAGTCCTTTCCAATGTCCTTAAACATTGAATGATTAACATTAAGAACACATTTTGGAGGGTTGAAGAGATGGCTCAGCAGTTGAAAGCACTGGCAGCTCTTATAGAAACATGAGTTCCATTCCCAGCACACACATGACAGCTAATAACCATCAGTAACTCCAGTTCCAGGGGATCCAACACCCTTCTGGCCTCCATCAGCACTGCATGCATGTGGTACACTTATATATATGCCAAAACACACACATAAAATAAAAAATTTTAATTTAAAATAAATATAGATTTTTTTTTAAAGTGAAAGGGGAAGAGGTTAGGCTTCTTCCCCAGGCAGCTGGACGCACTTGTTCAGCCACTTACCTCACTTGTTCTGAAGGCCACCCTGTAGTTGAACTGGGACCCTTCTTTCTCCTTGGGGTCTTCCACTTTCTCCCTCCGGATGCTGACTGCCACGGGGCCAAGGTTTTCATCTATTCCAAAGTAGTTCTGGTGCTCTGCAATGCAAGGAGTGGTAGAAGAAGAGAAAGAAAGCAGCACAGCAGTGTTAGTGCACAGCAAGTCTCTGGAGAGGCTCCAGCAAGTTCACACACCACAATCCCCAGGGCTGACAGGATTTTCTGGCTTCCAATTTATATATACTCTTCTATGTTTTGTCTCATCTGTTGCCTGTCTGCCCACTCATTCTGCCTTTCAACATCAGAGCAGCAGGAGGCTGCTCACCCCAAAGCCTCAGGTCTGTGGACAGCACCATGTGAAGGGGGTGTCATATCCTCAGTATTGTTGGAGGGACACAGCTCCTCAAAAGCCATCACTGAGGGCTGCTCCCTTTCATCTGGAAGGCAACCTTCTCAGACTTGAATGAGACTCTCCAGGTTACCTGACAAAGCCACTCAGATTGGCCAGAGTGATCTTGGCCATCTATGGATGTGCCAAGGTCACTCTGTCATTACACTGTCCCTGATATATCTAGCATCTAATGAGAGATCTAACAAAATGAAACACGTGACGGTCACTGGGTGGCGAAGCTCACTGGACCTACACATCCAGTAACTCCCTCTATCAGGTTGACAGCTAATCTTTTCTTTGCATAAATCACTAGTCTTTGAAAGAAACCTGGAGTCACACAACCCCACAATAGAAATGGACCTTGGAGGGTCCCGTCCAACAGGCACAGGATCCTGTAAGGGGTATTCATTAGCAATTGCTCATCTGCATCATAGCAACATGCCAGGCAATGTACACAGGGAGAACATCCCAGAAAGCAATCCCCACTCATGATATGAATACTGTTTAGAACCCTTCCAGTGATAGAAATCTCCCTGCTCTGTGGGCAACTCTTGATGGACCATGGGACAGCTTCGTGTCATCAAGCTGCTTCGACTGGTCAAAACATCCCACTGCATCTTCCATATCAATCAGTGCTTCCTCAGAACAGTCCATCTCATCACGACACCCAGAGGCAACCGGACCCCATCTCACTACAACATCCCAGAGGCAACTGGACCCCATTCACTGTAACACCGCAGGGGCAGCCAGACACCATCTTACCGTAATACCTCAGAGGCAGCTGGACCATGCAAAACACAGGGAACAATTACCCACATACCCATTAGTGTAGGTTAAGAACAGGTCTATCTTTAGCAGTCACATTGCACCAGTCACCTGTGCTGAACGGTGGTATGCATGAAACTCAGGAACTGTTCATTAATTTCCTAATGAACCACAGCCAGGTCAGTCCTCTAAGGACTATGCTCATAAATATTGATTTCTTCACCCATATGCAAAATACCAGATTTATCTCCTTTGAGTGCCACCTTCTACTAGGCTTCTACTAATCTTGCCCAACTCTGAGAAAGTCACTGAGAGAGCAGGATTCATCCTCCAGCAGAATGCAGCTCCCTGCTTCACACAAGTCAACACTGCCCAGATTGGTTCCAAAATACAAAACATTCATTTCTTAGCACTTGGGGACCAGATAAGCTTAACAGACATTCTCTGCCTTTCAGGAGCTGGGCAGGGTTAAAGGCAACAAGGAGACTATGTTGGGGGCTAAAGGTGAATTACTGACCAAGCCTATTAGTTTGAGACTAGAGAAAGACCCACAGGAACAGTGTGTGCCGACAGCAGCCAACATGACAGTCACAGGAGGAACTCCGCTGTCACCAAGCACTTCAGGTCTGGGTCTGAGGGAGAGGAGCAGCTATTTGTGACTTTAATCAACAGTTTGCAAACATTCAACAAAGCATCAGTGAAAGGTTGTTTACTTTGTGTTATTTCACTGTTTCTGAAGATGCATTAGTGACAGGTGGTCCAAGGCATTCCATTAAACCTATGCAGAAAGCATCTTTGAACTGAACACTGCATCAGTCTAGAGCTTTGCAAGCTGCAGCTAACTATTCCTCCATGTACTTGGGGCTTTAACTGTGCTCAATAATGTTCTGTAGTTCTCCATGGTGATTACTCATCTTTTTTTAAATTTGATCCTAGGTTCTCAGAGTTTTGTAAATCATATGCTCTCTTTATTCAAAGTCACAAATTTCTAACTATGTTCTAAAAGACAGTGATTGAAGATTTTGGATCTGAGTTTTTGGCAGTTGTTTCCAGATAAGTTGGGAGCTGATCTTTCTACCTCTGAAGAGTCTACCTCAAGGTCCCAGTGTTCTACAGGCTACTTTGTATCAGGTGGAACAGTCAGAGTGGCCACTATCAGCGAGGGTCAGTGAGTGGGGTCTGCTTGAGCCAGTCTGTCCTAGGAAGGGCCTTCCAGCCAGCCTCCTGTCTGGAGGTATTTGGCCCAAAGGAAAGAATGCAGAGGGACTGCCCTATTAACTTCCAAGTTAGTCCTTTTCACGGCTGTGCCCTGCCTCATATTCAACCTCTCCAGAAAAATCTTCAGTTTCCTCCCAGGGTACAAGGCAGGTGGAAACTGGCCAAGAGGTCAGGAGAGAGAATGAAGCCTTGTGAACACATGTGTCCTGCCTGACCGTCTGCTTCCATTTCTGTGTCTAGTTCTGTGGCACAGACAGCCTGGCTTGTGCCACCCCCCGCCCCCGAGTGCTCATACCTTCCCACCTTCTCTTCTGACATAGCTTGCCCTCTGCGGCTTCTCCCTAGTTCCAGCACTCCCTCCCATAGCACCTGTTTTACTCCTTTACTTCTGCCCTTCATGGTATTTTGGGACAGGGGAAAGAAAGCTGTTCTTTATTTTCGAGACAGGGTCTTACGAGGCCAAGTATGAACCTTAACTTCTTGTCCTCCTGCCTCTATCTCCCAAGTGCTGGGATAACAGGAATATCCTACCATCTCTGATTTATGTGCTGGAAATGGAAGGTAGGGTCTCATATGTACTAGGCAGGCACTCTACCAACTAAGCATGTGTCTTCAAGTAGCCATATATAACTAATAGTCCCAAGCCTGCTGGCTTTGAGATACATATAATGACAAGAGACCCACCACTGAGGTCTAAACCTGGGCTTTACTGTGCCATGTAACCCCTGCTCAGTTTCTTGACTTTTCTTACCTTAGCATTTCCCCCCCTAAAGTATACATGCACCATAATTATCCTTGGTGGGCTTGGAAGGGCATCACAGTTTAAAGCAGACTATTCCTGCCAGAAAAGCTAAATGAGAATTAAAATGGAGTGTGCATCAAAGAAGTACTGGGGCCATTCTGCTTCTGCACCCATTTTGCACCCTTTAATCCCCAAACACTGGCCTATAACGGCCTGGGCAGATTCAGTTGTGCTCATGGCTGTCTCTGTTAGTGGGTAGTAGCATATGTAATTATTTCACCAAATCAGAAATAATATTTTTAAAACTTGGAGAGCCCAAACTTGGGTATTCTCAGCCCTTCACCAAAGATGTAAAGGAACACAAAACACGTATGCCATCTCACATTTTCCCACTCCTGCTCCAGCCACACCCCACTTCCATTTCTGGCTCTGTCTCCCCAACACTTCTGTGCATCTGAATGCAAATGCAGAAGGGAGGTTCCCATGGTCTACACTCACCACGTCTGCAGGCCTACAGTGTTTATCCCTCATCACTCTTTGCAAAGGGACTTCACACAGCCTTTGGTTTCAGCAAGGAAACCTGCGGGATGCCTACATGTGTTTCTAAAGAAATTTAAATTTTCCCTTGGATTTGAGAACATGCTGTCTAGTTCCTATACAGAGCAAGCCCATGGACCATGAAGATGTGAACAGAGACTGGGCCCCTTCCCCCACAACTCCCTGAGGAAACAAAGGAATCCTGCATCCCTTTCAGGAAAAGATCTGCATGTTAATCCCCACAAGCCCTGCCACTCTGGGCCCCTAGGCAAGCCTCTCATAGCTGTGTGCATTCAGCCCTTTGCCCCCCACAGCCTGGCCTTATTTCCAAGCCCATGAGCCTATGATTTCCATAAAATTGTTTCAAGGGTGAATCAAATGAAATCCTTTCCTGAAGGATGGAAGCTGTGAGAAGGCTGTAGAAGCTGAATGAAAATTCACATATCACTGGATAATGGGACATGATAAAAAAAAAATCAGTTAACAAGATTGCAGTGTGGGAAATGAGATTCGCTGTGTCTCAGTGGTACATCCTGGCTAGTCTATGAAGAGGGGGAAAAAACTCCTAATTCCAAAGAGGAAAATAGACTGGGGCGCCCAAGGGCTCTGGCCCAAAAGGCTGTTTCTAGACTCTGCAGTGTCTTAAGGGAGAATGATTTGATATGTCATCAGTGAGCTGCGAGGGAAAGGACAGTCCTCTGCATATCTGGGCTGGCAATGAACAGACAGAGCAGCTCTGCCTGGTCATCTGTGCTGAAGTGCACTGCAAGGTCACAGAAACCACAAGCCAAGGGACCCATGTCCTTAAAGTCTCGGCCTCATTCCTGTGCTGAGTAGAGGCCTGAGGTCACTGTCCCCTAAAATACAGCTTAACGGTTCTCTGTCCTTTCAATCACTAGCCGGTCACTTTGTCTTTGCATGCTGCTGATCAGGATGGACATATACCCATCGGTGACTCTCTAAATCCCTACCTAAGATTATCTCAACTCACCCCCACCAACACACAACTGTGTGTCTCATTTCAAAGCACTTTCCACCACTTCACTTCAGGGGTTATGAACAAAATACAGTGAAATACACATGGGGCCAAGGGATGTGTGAAGTGAGGACTACTGTCTCAGCAGGCAACAGTGTTAAAGCTACCCTCAGCTTCCAGAAGTCTGTGCACCTGCAAATGTGTCCTGCTCTGTGAGCGCATTAAGAGAGGCATTGTTGCTGTTCTTTTAACCCAGGGTCAACAAATATTAGCTTAGTTTGAAAAACTCAAGGGACTAGAGAGAAAAATGTTTGAAATATTAAGCATCTGTTCCCATAAAACCAGAAGCACAGACAAGGCCCCAGGTTTCAGATGGGGCTAAAGCTGAAGGCCAGGACTACACGTTTTAGACTTGGTTAAAGCTAAGGGGTTAGGGCCACCTGAGCCAGGCAGGGGTCCACTGAACAGTT